CTGTTAATGGTTATGAAAATAGGAAAATGCTAGTGTGGTAGTTACGTAAAATTTCAATCTTTTGGAATGTTTCTATGAACTATGATATTTCCGAAATTAAATTAATTTCAGAATCGAAATGTTGTAATGACCATATACCAGATAAGTTAATGCTACACCGATGTGTATTGGTAATAGTGCTTTCTAAATCTTATTGTTAAATAAATTTTAACAGCATGGATATTATCTGAACTATATTTAATGTGTATAAAATACAAATACACACACGATAGTTCTCCATATGAAGAAGTATGGATGACCTCGTAAAACAAACAATAGCCATAGGCCTAAATCTGTATCAGTGATTCCAACAATCAAAACTATACATTTGAGTGTCATAACTATATGAGTTTTATTTGGTTCACAAGTCAATCTAATTTAGACAACCACTAAAAACCTGAAAACACTGCTTGGCCACTTTGTCCTAATACAGGACTCATCAACAGCAAGCAACTGCAACCCTGTATAAAGGAATCCAACCCAAGACCTTTGGTCTCACGTGTGAACGTCCAACCTCTATAACATGAAGCTAGGACTCAACGGTGTACAAATCTAACTTCAATCAGTCCACAATATTGAACGACCAACTTTCATTCTCTTCTGTGATTACTTTCTTCACATATGACATAGTTGAACTTCACTGGTAAAGGCTACTCATTAAATATCTTTAAATTTTGTCTTAAAGCTAATCAAAAATGGGTGCATTCTAGTTGTCAGTATGAAATTGTGGAGAATGTTTGTTTTCGTATGGGTCTACTGGCATCTCTAACCTTTTCACTGTGAGTACTGGTATATCTAAAGCTAAGTCGTATATAGTCTGTGAAAGTGTATTGTATCTCTTATTCTTCATGTAATAACAGTAAACTACAGTCTTTTAAAAATCTGAAAGTTTAAAGAAAATTCAACTATTAAATAATCCTGTTTTAACATCAAACGATGATTTTAGAATCATTTCACGGACCTTCTTAAGTTTGTACACATGATTACTAACATAAATCTAATGTGACAGCTAGTACCATACAGTATTTCATTTAATTTAATTCAAGTAAATTGTAATTATCAACGTTGTTCAATAATAATAATAATAACAATAATAGCTTATTATCCAGTGTAATGAGGTTTCAAATTGGACGAGATTATAATTTATGGACGAACCAATCAGGTATAAGATAACAGGTCTTGGATTTCGGCTCGAAATTCACTCATCTATTTGGCCAAATAGATTCATAGTATTATAACTGATGTCAGTTCGTGATGAAAACCCTAAATCTAATTCTTAACCTTAATCATCTACTGTAAATCATAATTCTAATGCCTTACACTGGTTGATAGGCCTCATGTTGTCTTGGTTATTAGGTAGACAATCTCAAGGTCACTCTAGTGTCGCTCAAATGTCATTCATAAGTTGTAGTCTCACCTCGGATTGTTTTCAAATTATTTCCTTTATTATCCTTGTCTCCTTATACCTTCCATTTCTAGTCTATTTGACCTTTTATTTCTATGCATAAATGTATGATCAGATTGTTGGAAATGTATTGCGTTAATACATCACACAGTTCTGATAATCTTCATCTTATTACACAATCGAAATTTATTAAAAGAACTAATTGCTTTAATTAATAAATTGATTCTTATTTAATGATATTTCACAAATTCTTTTAGTACATTTTTCATTAAATATCCTTAATCAAGAAACAATACAAGAAACTATAGTCAGAATAGAAAACAGTCTGTTTGTTTCTACTTTACCTAGACTAAAGTAAAAAAACACATCGTGGATGCGCACTGCTGAGGAGTCCCACAACAGGACGAAACGATCGTCCAGTGCTTTCAGGTTTTCCATGGTGGTATAGCTACAATCGATTCGTGATTTCAACTATTAACATTATTAGTTATAACGTTTGGATTGGAAGCTAAAAATAGTTTACAGTATTAATAACTGAATTCCAATTCAGTGTGTCGAAGATGAATTTGTTATGAAATCTAAACATCTTATGGATTATTGATATTCACTACAAAAAGTTATAAACAGCTAGACGAAATATCTTTCTACTGTAATCAGGATCTTATTGATAATAAATGTAAGAATTGTATTTGAAATAACCCCAGAGATTAAAATTTAAATTATATGAAATCTTTCTGTTGGCTTATCTGTTCGAGCCTCTGTTAAGAAATAGTCAAAATAACGATTATCAAAGGCAAATACAATTTCAAAACAATTCTATACGAACACTTGTTTAAGCTTGTTCAAATCCTGAATTTTCATAGATATTTAGAATATGAGTCACCTTATCTGAACTTCGTTTGGCATATGATGTACATGAGTGTGTTTATGTATGGTATTGTTGTAATAGTTTAGTGAACAAATGAAGCCCTAAGTTTATTAGTGAAGTGACCGTTTTGTTTATTATAATACTAAAAGCACATATGAGTACATAAGAGTACATATGAAATCCATTGAAGCATGTATTCATTGATAATGGTCATGTTATTCTTGAATTATAATGTTAAACTGGGAGTATTTGAAGACATAATATTAGCAAAATTACTGACTCAAAGATCTGTTATTGTTGGAGTCATGTTATGGTCGATAGAGTTTTCATTTATTAATCAACCATTGCCATGACGTAGTTGTCTGTATTTCATTTCTTCTATTCACATTGTTTATATTCACCACAAACATATATGACTTCACTTATTATTCGTTCTTTTGAAGAAGGAAAATCTTTTTTGTTTCCACTAATGTTCCGGTTCTAAAGAGTGATATGTAATTACTGATCTACTCTGAAACGTTTTTAAATTTGTGGACGACTTAGAAATACATTTCAAAAATTGTTTGTGTTCTTTCACTTTCACATTTAATTACCTGAATATTTCTCCATCATATTCACTATTACACTTACTACCTTTGGCTATATAGACGCAGTTTCTATCATCGTTGTTTCCTAGTTTCTTTTAAACTGCTCGTTTAAATTTTAATGAGTGTTTATATAAATTGATTACTGATGATTTTATTTCTTGGGAATCAATGATCTATTTTTATGGCACATCCATTATAGTTCCTTTAAGTTACAATATTGTACACTTATCATGAATTGATATAATGCAACCTCATTGATTTCTTATTTTTATGGAGCATTGTCGTATAAAAATGATGCTCTGTTTCATGTATTTACATACACCAAAAATATTTTCCAATAGAAACAATGGAAAAATTCATGTGTTAACAGGCAGTAAACGTATGTCATTAAAACTCGTTTTAGGAAACTAATGGTTACGACTAATTTTCCAAGATGTGATTGAACATAAGTTTAAGTTAATCAAGTTTTAACTAAATAACAATTAATGTTTAGTAAGGACATAAAAGGTCGATCGTAAATAATGATAAAAACTTTAAACAATGTCAGAATTTAGATAATACTTCACAATTTTCCACAGAAGTATCCAACTCAACGGCATCCTAAAAGAACTCAATAGCTGCCATCAATCAATCAAATTCGTAGAATCAGCGTTATTCTTTAAGTCCTATTTTTCGGCCATCCTGTCAAAACAATGAAAGGTTTATTACTCCAAGTATTGATGTACAAAAAGTCATCCTGGAATGATCAGTACACGAACTTCTAAAGTTGAGTCGCATTTAGATTGGAGAAAAACTTAATTTACTCTCAGTCATCACTGGACTCCTCAGCAATGTGCATCCACGATCCCGCCCCACGAGATTCGAACTTAAAACCCATTGGTCTCGCGCGCGAACGCTTCACCTCTAGACCACTGAGCCGGCTTACCTGCGTTGATATTATTTGTAGTCCACTGAATGCACAGATAAATTATACATGCAACTGAAATTATCATTGAGAATCTTAATGATAATCTCCATCGATTTCAAGTGACTGAAATCTTAAGAAATAAAAGTAAAAAAATAAAAAATGAATTTAATTCTGACTTGTATGATTGTATACAAATAAAATATATGGATGATATCTAAAAACATTCGTCTAAATGTTATTGAATATTTTCATAGTATTTAGGCGCCAATTTGATATGAGACATTAAAGAAAATCAATGTATTAGTAAAATCTCAGCGAATTGGAATTTGAAATAAATCTAACGTTTCACCTGACAATCTATTCTATACCTTTTCGAAAAAATTTTAATCAAACATCAAAATGATTGAATATTGATTGATTGGATGATGTATTTAGTATACAGTGGACCAGAAAACTATGTACTTATTTCTACTCGACAATTTTGATGTTTGACACATCCACCATTGTCATCAGTGAGTTACCATCTCACAACAGATCCAGTTGAACTCCAGTGGTCACTGTTTCTCACTAGAACTCCATAAAATACCTCTTGAAGCCAGTCATTAGTGAGCAAATGTTGATTACTATCAGATGGGATTTTGTGGAGATTTTAGTAATTTCAACAGTTGGGATCATGAGCCAATTGAAGTTAGACCGCCATAGAAAACCTGGAAGCACTGGACTGTCGTTTCGTCCTATTGTGGGACTGCTCAGCAATGCGCATACACGATCCCGCCTCGCGAGATATTTGATTAAACTTCCTTGAAAATAGTTGAACCAGATTGTCAGATCAAATCTTGAATTCGCTTCAAATTTATTCTTTGAGATTTTAAAAATACATTCTTACTCTTACATGGATGATACATTTCATTTTAAATATTTCCTTAGTATGTTTGATCTATTAACAATTGTACTATATAAGGGATGCATAATTGGATCATCATAGACACTAGTAAAGTGTAATATGAAAATAAATTTATAATATTGGTATAGTAACTGTTTATGGAAAACAAAACCAGAATATGATATTTGATAATGTTTCTTATAAAGTTTACTTAAATTATTAGTCTATCATTTTCATATTAATATTTATTAAAGTTTTCAATTCCTTTAAAATTCTTTTTTTTTTATTTTTTTTTAAAAATAAACAAATAGTATCATTATTGAATTATCGTGAAGGTCTTGATACAATTGATGAAGGTAATAGTTCACCTTGTAATCCAACTATAAATAATCAACATTTATATCAATCACAGTCAATTTCTCAAATTGAACAATATATAAATAATGATACTACTCATAAAGAATATTATCAATTCATTGATGGAAATATTCAAAATCAATTAAAATCATCAAATATTCATGATAATACTGAAAATTTATTAAAGATTGATTCATCTAAAATGAATTACGAAAAGAATTTCAATAAAGAATACGACAGTGGTAGTATAGAATTACAACAAACGAATACAAATAAAATGAATCAATTTAGAAAATGTCATGAAAAATTAAAAAATAATTGTAAAATATGTTTAAAACATATAAAATTACCTATATGGTTATCTAATTTATTATTATGGATTTATACACATTTAAGTGGAGTATTTACTTATGGATTATTTCTATTAGCTATATATGCATGTATTATATCGATTAAAGCAAATATTGCTTTACCACCACAATGTCGTTTAATTTCTGTTATAAAAAGAATAGATAAATTATCAAATATTTCTATGAATGATAATCAATCCTCAGGGAGTAAATTTGTAAAAGCACTTGAATGTCGTCATGGGGAAGCTTTAAGTATACTTATTTTCTATGGTTTTGGTTTTATGTTTGGAGAAATAATGGAGCTTCTACATTTACCTGGATTATTAGGTATGTTTTATTGTGTTATAAAATGGAATTTATTAACAATTTTAATAAGTTTAATAGGAAGGTATATATTTTAATCTGTTTGTTGATACAATATGAAAGAACTTTAATTCTAAATTATTTTAAAGAAATATGTGGAATGAAATACAGGTTAACAAAGAAAATCTTCACGGTGGTCTCTTTTACTATAGTTGACATTTTGTTCAGGATTGTCTAATTTAAAAAAAGAGTTTTGCTCAGTCAATAAAAAAAAGATATTAAAAGTGAATAAAAAATTTGATCTATGGAATATAGTTGTGTAATAATCCAAGGGCAATAAGATGAAGACAGTACAAAGAGAGATGTGAAAGATAAATAACCACTTAAATGAATACAGAGAAGACAAACATGAGATGGACATTTGTCAAAAACAACCTACAAACTGAGAAGGGGGTGGGAATTATAGCAATGATAAAGTATGGGATTGAATAAATTGCTTCTACATACAGATCAGGTTTAAATTAATGAATCACCAAATCATCTGCTATCCACAGATTTCCTATCCAACTTCCCTTACAAACAGTTTGTTAAACATTAAATAAAGATTCTGGTAAAAATATATGATAAACAATGAATAGATGCTCAGAAAGGGAACTAATGAGTAACTTTTGACTCATTTTCAGATAGCCATGATATTTGGTGCTTCGAAATGCGTTTGGAAGCTCTGTAGACCTCTTTGTATAGACAATAGAACATGCTCAACAGGAGCATGTAATCTGGTAAATACAAATTATGGCAGTCTAAAAGCAAACTTATCTTTAACAAATCCTTGGATCATTTATAAACTGAAGAGGATTTTCTAAATGGATTTTTATATTACCAAAATACTTGGATGTTCATCTCATTGGTTACACCATACAGTCCAAGTTTTTTTATTATGTTATTACTATGATCATAAATAGTGTTTGGATCTGGCCTTTTAAAATTTCACAATCCTGGTAAACCAACATTTGAGTACATAAGATTATGTGTTGTTTGTTAAGGAGCACCTAAACTTTAGTCTAGATAAACTAAATGCTGCGATAGCTCAAGTCTTTTACGCGTTAGCTTGTTAAAGATAACATAAAATGATCTGTACCCTCCCCCAAAAATTCAGTTTTTCTAAAGCTTCTTACATGTCTTCATTCGTATACCATAATAGTCAAAACATTCCAATCAAGAAGTCATTTAATAATTGATCATAAGACTGGAAACTTTATGCTACCAATGTAATCCATTAAATTATACACATCATTATTACCAGAACATAGAAATATTTATGTATAACTGTTAAGTAAACAACTACACTTGAGATTTCTTTTATAAACTTGTTCATTTAATAAGTTCATGTTCTTATGCCTTCCGTTATGAGAGGTCTATTTACTGTCGCAATAGATGTAGATGTAGACAGCTAATCAATCGATTATGATCCGAATATTTTAACTAATGAATAACTAATCAAAATAGTTTTAGAAACATATCAATTTTCAATTAAAAAAAGTATTAAAAATAATTTATTTTCTCCATTGTCACAAATGAATTTCACATCTTATTTGTATTTGTTCCTCTGTTAATTGTATTTTATGAGACTTTATGCTTGTTGCAGATAAAAACACAGAATTTTTGTATATTGTAATGTTATAGCTCAGTATACGATTATTGCAAGAGAAAAAAGGAATATTACATAACGAGATATAACAATCAGATGAAGCATTAATCACAAATGTAGATTATTAAATTTTTAACATATAGACATTTTTCTACATCTCTTGTGACAAATACTCTAACAACATGCTCACTGTCATAAATAATATGATGTTAGAGACAATAAAGTTAAAACTATTTTTTGGTTGAATCCATGAGTCAATTAGAGCCAGATCACCATGTAACCATATAATGATTAGTATCAGAAGGGGTTTTGTGGGAATTTAAGCAATTTTATAGTTGATTTCAAAAATTATTTTCCAGAAGTCAAATGTTTATACTTAAGGAGACACTGTGGCTCAGACGATGAAAACGTTAAACCAAAGTTTTAATACTGGAGCAACATTATATATTCACTACGATTATTTTTACTTCTTCAAGCTTTAATATAATGACATTCAGTGAACATCATATATATATATTTAGAATTATGTAGAATTAATTCTGCACATGAAATAAAATACAACTCATTGAATATTACAATTAAGTTAATGTTTACTTAATGTTTCAATTTTAATGAATGACACTTGTTCAGTCAGAGACATAAGCTAGTGAACATAGAAATGTTAGTTTGTAGGATAAACATGTGAGATTTTTCGTTGTTGCGTTAACTTGGAAGATTCATTAAAAGTGATTGATTACAAACTACTAATACCGAGTAAAATATTAAATTATATGATTTATCGTATTGCACAATCCATTAGTTCATTAGTTTTACACTCCTGTTTTACTAATTTTAATAAAAGGAGAGACAATTAGACTTCGTAACAACAGTTAGATTCGTAAAAGTATGGTAAAAGTACCTAAGAATACACACAGATCCCATTGAATTTACTTACTTCTAATAACAATAAGACGCTTTTAGAAATACTTTATTCATAAAAATTTGGAGTTAACTGACTTAGCATACTAACAGATATCTTATTTGTATTTACAACGTCTTCTACAACATACTTTTACAAAGTTTAACTACTATCCTAATGTTATGATCCAATTTCAGTTATGTAACAACATTCAGCTTTGAAAATTTTTTTCATAAACTCAATTCTGAATAAAACCAATTGTATAATGTTGAAAATAATCATTCATCTCCTAACACTGTTAAGAATGATTCGATAAATTTATGAATACCCTATTTGTATTTTGTACACTATGAACAGTACAATGTAGTGATGCATTTGAATTGAAAGTTCTAGTTACGTAACAAAGTTTGTCACTGTCCACAAATATAAGAAAAAATTATTTCGTTTATATTAGGTTAGGGTAACTTCCATGACATCATCTTTTCATTTTATTATTTTAACCAATTCGTCCTTTAATATCAGTGTTAGTTTTCACCTATTTCATTCATTTCAGTTGTTTATCTAATATTTTCTTCTCTTTCGGAGATTGATATTTGTACTATAATCTCTTACTTCTATCATAAATCCTAACTACTTTTTATGTTATCGTACATAGATGTAAATTTGTCTTGATTGTTTGTTTTACCGAGAAATTACAGTTAACAGTTTATTTTCTCGTTAGTAAACAAAATATAATTTACTTAGATATCATCCATTTAGTTTATATAGTGTTCAGTTGTTAGAAAGTTAAGAGAAGCTTTGAAACAATATTAATTCATTTAATTGAAAAAGTTTGATTTACATCGCTTCATTTAAAAGTATATGGAAACAGGGGGTCTGGTTTAAAGATTATAATAACTGACCTAATACCTTATTGATTTTATATCAATATAATCGACGAAAATAAATTTCAATAGTTGAAATCATGAGTCAATTGAAGCTAGACCACCATGGATAACCTGAAAGCACCGGACGGCCATTTCATTCTGGTATGGGACTCCTCAGCAGTGCGCGTCCACGGACCCGCCCCCCCGCGAGATTCAAACCCATGACCTATCAGTCTCACGCGCGAGCGCTTAGTCACTGGACGACTGAGCCGACATCCACAAAACCCCTTCTGATAAAAATAAATTTCATCAGATTTATCTGTTAAAAGGATTGTGCTCTTGTGTTCTCAAAACTTATTACATAAAGGTAATATCATTCAACTAGGTCAAAAAGTAATACAATTTTTGTCATCGAATGGTTAGTTACTCAAGTGAATAGACATTTAAGTAAACACCAGGGTTATTTTTATGAATTACGTTTATTAATAAGTTCGACTCCGTAATAAACTACAATGTGTTGTTCAAAAAAAGGATATAAAAATACATGAGTTATTTTTCAGATACTTTGTTAGTAAATAAAGCCTTAATACTTATGTGACAGCAAATAAGTATAAAGATGTTTCGTTATTGAATATAATCAGATTATTCAATAAAGTGTATATAATCTACACAGGAATTTCTTAAATGCTATAAAATAACATATTTAAACATAATCTTTACCCTAGTAGCTCATTTGCGTGATTCTTATGTTTAGTCATGTTGAACAAATAATTATTAAGGAATTGAAATTTTATGAAACTTATATCTGTTAACAATAGTTTCTTTTCTTCTAATTATTAATGAATAAGATTTACTGTTTTTAATTACATGATTTAGAAAAGGTAAGATTATGCTAGAGATATGATTTAAACAACACAGATTACTATTTAATCTACTGATGGAGAAACTGATTATCCAACGTTACTTTAGAGAAGTAACGAAATGCAAACCATCATGTTTTATTCTCTGAAGAAGTGACTTACACTAAGCCACGAAACGTCAGAAAATCTAATTTTCTACTCATTGGGATATTACAAATATATTATTTATTTACATCATGTTTTAGTTCATTTGGTACAGTTTGTTTGAATCTTTCCATTGATGTTTAGGAATGCAATTGATCAGATTCTTATTAGCATATGTGCATCCTGTGTGGATTACCTTGATATTATCTTAAATAACAAGAATTATAAGCAAAGATAGATAGTGGCTAGCAGTAGAAACTAGGGCACGTGTTTCGTCCTATTTGGGACTCGCCAGCTGAATGTATCTGCATCACAGTATTGGTGTTCACTGCGGGACACAAACGTGCAATGCGAAATGAATTTAAACTTCATCCCATTGCACAAGCAAGTAACTATCAGGACTCAGTAGCTAAGTGGAAAACTCAATGGTGTTTGAAGCAATCGGTACTAGCTTCGAATTCTGGAGTAAACATTAACTCTGCAATGCAGGTGCATTCAACCGACGAGTCCTAAATAGGACGAAACATGCGTCTTGGATTCCACTGCTAGCCACTATCCATCTATGCTGACAATGTATTATCTTTTAAACTTTCGTTTCCCATCATTTA